CAAACTATTCCAAAAATTCAAGAGGAGGTAAAACTCCCAAGCTCATTTTATAAGGCCAGTATTATCCTAATTTCAAAGCCAGATAGAGACACTACGAAGAGAGAAAATTATAGGCCAATATCCCTGATGAATATAGATGTTAAAATCCTTAACAAAATATTAGCAAACCAGATCCAGCAATACATTCAAAAGATCATACACCATGATCAAGTTGAATTTATTTCAGGGATGCAAGTTTGGTACAATATCTGCAAATCAATAAATGTGATACACTCCACAAACAAAATAAAGGATAAAAATTACATGATCATACCAATAGATGCAGAAAAAGCATTTGATAAATTCCAGCACCCATTTATGACAAAAACTCTCAGCAAAGTGGGAAAAAAGGGAACACACCTCAACATAATAAAGGCTAATTATGAACACTGACCCCCTACTTCATACTCAATGGATAAAAACAAGAAGCATTCCCCCAAAGATTGGGAAAAATACAAGGATGTCCACTTCTGCCAATCTCTTTCAACACAGTACTGATAGTCCTGTGCAATCAGGACAAGAAGCAATCAGACAAGAAGAAGAAAATAAAAGGCATCCAAATTGGAAAGGAAAAAGTAAAACTGTCATGATTTGCAGATGATGCGATTCTCTTCATATATAGAGAACCCTAAAGACTTCACCATAAAACTGCTAAAACTAATAAACACAAAATAAATATCCAGAAATCATTTTATATCATTTTTTAATATAGTAGTAGTGACCTCTTAGAAAGAAAAACTAAGAGAACAATCCCAATTACTATTGCATCAAAATAAAATAAAATAAAATAAAATAAAATAAAATAAAATAAAATACCTAGGAATAAATTTAATCAAGAATGTAAAAACTTGTACTTGAAAAATTACAATGCACTTGAAGAAAGAAATATAAGAAAATACAAATAACTGGAAGCACATACCATGTTTATGGATAGAAAGAATTAAGATCATTAAAATGTCCATGGTACCCAAAGCAATCTATAGATTCAATGCTATTCACTCAAGATACCAATGGCATATTTCAAAGAACTTAAATAGATATTTCAAAAGTTTATATAGAACCACAAGAGACTCTGAAAGCCACAGCAATGTACAGAATAACAAAGTCAGAGAAATCACACTACCTGATCAAGCTGTACACAAGGCCATAGTAATCAAAAGAGCACAGTACTAGCTTAAAGACAGATATACAGGTCAATAGAACAGAGTAGAGAACTGAGAAATAAACCTATGCTTTTATGCCAATTAACTTTTCACAAAGGAGGCAAGAACATACAATGGGGTACAATAGTCTATTCAATAATTGGTGTTGAAAAAATTGGACAGATACATGCAAAATTAGAACGTCTTCCTATACCATATAGAAGAATAAATTCAAAATGGATTAAGACTTAAATATAAGACTCAAAACCATAAATATCCTAGAAGAATACAGGCAGTAAAATCTCAGTCATTTCTCATAGTAATATTTTTTTCTGATTGTCTCCTCAGGCAAGGGAAACTAAAGAAAAAATAAACAAGTGGGACTACATCAAGCTAAAAGTTTGTGTGCATCAAAGGACCATCAACAAAATGAAAAGACAACCAACCCACTGAATGGCGGAACATATTTGCCAATGACAAATACAATAAGGGGTTAATATCCAAAGTTTATAAAAAATTTAAACAACTGAACACCAAAAAGACAAAGAGTCCAATTTAAAATGGGCAAAGGACGGGAATAGATACTTCTCTAAGAAAAGATACCAATGGCCAATGACATATGAAAAGATGGTCAACATCACTAATCATCAGAGAAATGAAAATGAAAACCACAATGAGATATCACCTCACACCTGTCAGGATGGCCATCATCAATAAATCAACAAACAACGGTTGTCAAGGATGTAGAGAAAGGAAGACCTTCATGTATTGTTGGTGGGAATGCAGATTAGTGCAGCCACTGTGAAAAGCAGCATGGAGATGCCTCAAAAAATTGAATGGGCACTGCAGCATTATTAACAATAACCAAGATCTGGAGACAGCCCAATCGCCATCAGTAGATGAGTGGATAAAAAAGATGTGTTTATTTACACAGTGGAATACTACTCAATCATAAAAAAGAAGGAAACTTTATCTTTTGCAAGAGCATGGATGGGCCTGGATAAATAAGCCAGTCAAAGGAGGACAAGTACCATGTTATTTCACTTACATGTGGAACCTAAAGAACAATATAAAGAAACAAAATAGAAACAGACTCACAGACACAGAGAACAAACAGACAGCTGTCAGAGGGGATGGGGCTTGGAGGGCTTTGTGAAAAAAGGTAAGTAAGTTAAGCAAAACCAACCAACCAAACAAACAAACAAAAACTTACAGACACAGACAACACTAGGTGATCTGATCACCAGAGGAAAAGGGGGTGGGGGGAGGTAGAAACGGATACGAGGAGATGGCTGGTGATGGAAGAAGACTTGACTTGGGTGGTGAACACTCAATACAGTATACAGGTGATGCATTATAGAATTGTACACCTGAAACCTATATAATTTTATCAATCAATGTTACCCCAATAAATTAATTTTTTTAAAAAGAAACTGCTTTCAAGATAGAGGTGTGATATTGGGCAAGTGGTTGATGCAAGGCAGGACTCTGTAGCTCGGTCTGAAAACAGTCCATCCATTTAGAAGGGAGACATAGAGGATAGACTACAGAATGTAAATGATGATTATCTAGGTGACAGGGTTATGTCAGATTGTTTTTCTTTTTACTCATCTGCACTTATAAATTTTATTTAATAAACCTTAATTTCCTAGGCCATATGTCACATAAATTATAAATAAATTGTATTTAATTTAAATTCCAGGTATTATAATATATAAATATTAATAAATGTATGTATATATGAATGTACACAAATACATTTTTTAGAAAAGCATGCTTTCCTTTTTGCTTTAAATATGCACCTCTACCAAAGATTCTGTACTATAAAAGTTAAATAAGCATAGCTTTTGGCTTTGATAATTTTGCTACACATATTAGTATTGCTGCCCCAAGAACTAGGAGAAATTCCAAAGCAAACAACACTGCAATAATTCAGTCGTTAACTACAAGGAAGAGAAGGGTATATGTGCATCTATGTGTGTGTGTTTTAATTTATTGATGGCAAAAAGAGGGAGGGAGGGAGGAAGAGAGAGAGAAAGAAAAGAAAGAAAGAAAAAGGAAGGAAGGAAGGAAAGAAGAAAGAAAGAAAGAAAGAAAGAAAGAGAGAGAGAGAGAGAGAGAAAGAAAGAAAGAAAGAAAGAAAGAAAGAAAGAAAGAGAGAGAAAAAAAGAAAGAGAAAGAGAAAGAAAGAAAGAGATAGGAAGAAAGAAAAGGAAGGAAGAAGGAAGAAAAAAGAAAGGACAAGACAGGAAGGAAGGAGGGAGGGAGGAAGTGAGAAAGGAGAGGAGAGGGGAGGGGAGAGGAGGGGAGAGGAGAGGAGAAAAACAAGAGAGAAAGAGAAAAACCACTTTGTTGACGCAGTCACTGATTGGCTCTTGTCTGTGCCCGGACCACACCCTTGGCTAACAGGACAATCCTCTAACCAACTCAACTACCTGGCCAAGGCGAGAAGTCTGGGGTTTGAGATTTTATAAAAGGTATCTCCATTTTTAATCTTAATTTTTCTTTAAGGAAGTTTCTGAAGGAACCCAAATATTGCACTTTATTTCTGAAGGGACGAGGAGGGAGGAGAATATTTTTTCCATCATAAGGTGCCAGACATTACCGTGTGTGCGTGTACTTTCCTTTCAACCTGGTGTAGTCTGGCTATAAGTGCAATCAACAAACTGCCTTTGGAATTAGATCTGAATTAAATCCCAGCACTGTCACAGACTAGCGTATAATCTCACTTGAATGAATTAAAGTTTCTGAACCTCATTTTGCCATCTCTAAAATGGAGACAAATGGAGATGAGGACACCTTCCTTGCTACACAGCCTCTGCGAGAATTGACCGAGATACAATTCACTGACACTCCTAACACGGTGCCTGGAACTTCGGTGGGACCCAGTAAAATTAGAGTCCACTGGTTTTCAGAGGCTTCGGAACTAAAGTGACCTTCCTGAGGCCAAGACTCTTCCGTTAGCCGTCATCAAGCTGGCATTTCTGGGGCAGGGGCTCTCTCCAAAAGACAAGGGTGCTGCTCAGGCTTCTAGGCCAAGAACACACACCAGGGAGCATGAGGTCTGGGGAGGCTGAGTTCGCAAACTACGGGAGTGCAAGCTTAGAAAGATTCTAAGAAGAAAAGAGGAGCAGAAAGAAATGTTTAAAAATTGAGACAGGGACTGACTTACTACTGTCTCAAAGACAGGAATTCCCGGAAGGGAAACAACAAGTTTCTTTTTCTGTCGAGACAAGAGTAAACAAGGCTGCCGAGACTCTAAGCAGTGCCAGGGCGACTGCAAGAAAGAAACGGTGCGTTCCCAAGCCTCCGGTGTCACCGCTGCCTCGGGGAGATTTACACCCTAAACTTCACAACTGGGGGAAAGTGGGCCATGTCCGTTCCTGCGAGCGCCAGTTCTGCCACGTCCTGGCCGCGAACACACCCACCCGCCCAGAGCGGACCTTTAGCTGGACCTGTAGGGACCTGTCCAGAAGACCCCCTCATCTCTCCAGCCCGGCCGTCCCAGCAGCGACTGGAACCTCCGAGGTCCCTGCCGCCCCCAGCCGCCACCTCCCGGCGCGGCTCCCGGCGGTCGCGCTGAAGCACCGTCTGCCCGGTCTGCCTGGCACCGAACCCCAAGAAAAGCCAGTTCCCGGGTTTCCCGAGACCGGCCCTGGAGGGAAAGCCCCAGCAGCCCCGGGGGCCGGTCTGTCGGTCGCCGGCAGCAGCTGCCGGCACGGCCCGAACCCCAGCGCGCGCATCTCCGGGCCACCAACAGGGGCGCGGCTGCCCCTGCCCGGGCTCGGCCGCTCCGGGCTCCGGCGGGAGCACACTCACCAGGGGCAGGAGAACCCCGATCCGGAACATGGCTTCGCCAATTCCCAGACGCTCCGGTCAGCCACGCCGGGAGAATGACAGCCCGCCGGGTCGCTCCCGGAGCCAAGCCCCGCCCCGGGCGCTGCGGGGAGGCGCCACAAGTCCCCTTCCCCGCGGCCCGAGCGGCGGATCACCTGCGCCCGGCTCCCCGCGACGCCGGAGGCGACCGCGCAGGACGCGCCCCTCCCCCGCCCCCGGGGACCGGGGTGAAGGCAGGGAAGGAAACTTCGCCGGGGAACTCCCGGCCTGGGGAAGGCGCCTTTGATTCGGCTGCTCCACCCGCTCTGCGGCGGGCGGGGGCGGGGTGCCTGGGGTGCAGACGGAGTCAGGGTTTATTGCACAAACGGGCATTCCCCATTCAGGTCGTTTCCGCTGTCGCCTGGTGGGTCGCGCTCCGCCGAGGACCCTGAGAGCGGCGGGCTGTCGGGTCGCCGCCCCTCCGAGTTTTCCCGGGAAGGTTGGGCGGAGCCTGAGCCTCCGCGTCCTGCCGGGGGCGCCAGAACCCGAGCTGACCGCCGCGGACCCACGGAGGACGACCTGGCCTTCGGGCGAGGCTCCCGGGAGCCCCGACTACTTTATGCAGCGACAGTTGTCAGCCGAGAAGATTCCTATATTGTGCTATGGGGATTCTGAAAAGAGAGGAGCTCCTAGCTTTCATTTCTCCAGAGGCGAACTTAGCACCCATGACGAAGCACACAGCTCCAGCTCCGCTAAACGTTCACAATTACTTCCCCTTCTTTGTTACTCATTATTTCCCGGTAGACTTTCTTTTAAAAAAAATATAATTATTTGGTGGTCTGGGTAACTCTATTGTTTTGGGAATGTAAATCTGTGTGGGTGGTTTTGCAAGAATTTTACAGAAAGGGAAGTCTGGATGATGACTTGGTTTCGCCCCGCACTTACCCCGCCAGGTCTGTAGTCACTGATCTGCTCCTTGTACCAGCGAAGGCGAGTGAGCGCTGCGAGGAAGAGCCCGCTGTGCCAGTGCCGCTCCGGCGCCCCGCGCACAACCAACGCAAAAAGGAGTGGATGGGGGTAAGGCTCTGCGGCTTTACTGCGCATCCGAAGCTATTGTCCAATGAACAGTTCGCTGAAATTTTTTTTTTTTAAAAAAGACATCTATAAGAAGAACGAAAGAAGGGGGAAGAGAGAGACAAAATCAACATCTCTTGAGAGTGAATTATAAGTCAGCAACTTTGACAGGTGGTTCTTTCTGACTTAATATTTATCATTTTAGCCCAGCAAGTTGAATGACTTATTAAACCCACTTTACAAGTACAGAGTTGTAGCAAAAAAAAAAAAAAGTTTAAGCAACACTGGCAGCATTGGCTTGTGAATAAATAGCAGAGCCAGGAATTAAACGTAGATATTCTTGCTCCTGAGGCCTTGACCCTTCCAACCACACACACTCCTACGTCTAATTACCCTCAAGTTCAATGAGATAATAGGTGCTGGAGGGGGGGATATTTCATGGTCAAATGATTTTAGAAAATTCGGGGTTAATTTAATTCAAACAGACCTCTTAAACCAAAAACTCTCAGAGCTCCTGACATGCTAATATGCGTTGTGAATAGCTAAGAGGGGGCTATGATATATACTTCCTCCCAAATTTTGTCTTTAGAAAGTCCTCTGAGGAGGACCTATTGAACGATCACTTCTTGAATGCTGGTATTCTGGGGAAAACACTTTGGACATCTTTAAAGGTCATTTTTATTTTAGTGACACATTCCTAAGGCTGGAATCCTTCAAGAGGAAAAAATACAATTTTAATAATAGAATGTCAGGCCTTCTACCAGATGTGGGAGATATTTTGGACCCAAAACATACCATATAAGTTAAAGCTTGCTTCTATTCTGAAGATACCCTTGCCACTGAACGTCTCATTTTTAGTAACATTTAAATGCATACCTGAATATGTAAAACACTGCGGAGAAAAAAATCTTCAACACCTTTCCACCCGCCGAGTTTATTTTTATTCCCCTTCCCCATGGACCTCATGTTTTAAATATTTTTGTTAACCAAATTGCTGTAGCAATAAATTGACTTTATTAATTCCAAACTGTAGTGAGCATGTATGACTGTTTTTCCTGCATCTTTCCTCTTCCTGCCTGGTAACAGCACTTCCAAGTTGCCTTTGGAAAAATTGCCCCTCTTCCCTCTTATTAACTATTTAGTCTGCATAACTGTATTAGTCAGTTTCAGAAAAACAGAACCAATGGAACAGATACATTGCAATGTATATCGAGATCTCTGTCTATGCTTAGACAGGTAGATAGACCGAGAGATGTATTTTAAGGAATTGGTTTCCGTCATTGTAGAGCCTGGCAAGTTCAAAACCGCAAGGTAGGCTGGTAGGCTGGAGACCCAGGAAAGAACACAGTTTGAGTCCAAAGTCCCTCTCTCTCAGGGAAGCTCTTTCGTAAGACATTCCACTCACTGAATGAGGCCCACACACATTATGAAGGACAACTACTTTGCTTACAGCCTACCGATTAGCGATTAGCAATTTAATTGCTAATCCTAACCAAAAAAATGCCTTCACTGAAACATCTAAAGTACTACCAAATATTTGGGTCCTGAGGCCTAGCCGAGTGGACCATCACAGGAGCATGGACACCAATCCCAATGCTTCTGTTTGCAGGCAGGTGGGTGGAGGAGGGGGACAAGGAACTCCATGTGGTTAAGGCAACTGGCACCTCCCATTCAATTGGGGTGAACTTTGTGGCATTTGCTGTAAACAGGAGGACACAATCCCTCCTCCACTGGATTTAGAGTGGGAATATGTAAAGTGTGGGGCTCGTGCGGTCGTGAAGAAAGTTCAGGAACCTGCCAGCCCTGAAGCCAGAGCCACCCCACGCTGAGAGACCTCGCAGAGAGGCAGAGCCTGACAGTGTCACCCGGGCTACCCACAGTCACCCAATTCAATCCATTCTCAATTTTTGCTTAAGCCTGATTCTTACCACTAATAGAATCCTAACTTATATCATCAGAGCTTATGATCAGCATAAGAAATCCTCTGTTACCAAAATTAGTTTTTGCAAGTTATCTATTACAGTTTCTGCCTTAAGTAAGGATAATTGCCTAAAATATAGAGGGACATTACTTCTACTAAATTTTTTCCTATCACTAGAGGGTGCCAGATACCACATTAGCCAATGAGGAAGAAAATTATGTAATTCCTATCAATTATTAGAAATATATTTAGGTTCTTTAAAATTTTTTTCTTTTTATTTTTTAATTGTTGTTCAGGTACACTTTTCTGCTTCCCCCCCATCCCAGCCCAACCCCCCAGCTCTCCCCACCTCCGTCCCATTTCCACCCCCCTCCATTATTGTCCATGTGTCCTTTATAATTGTTCCTGCAAACCCTTCACCCTTTTCCCCTATATTTAGGTTCTTAGGAAAGGGAAGAGAAAGGAGAAAGAGCTTTGATTTAGGCAGATAATCTGTGACCCTGCTCACAGAAACATTTTCATTTCCCTGAGAACATATTTCTAACAGGGTTAAAGAAATGATGTATGCAAAGCATTTACCACATTCAAATATGAGCTACTTTTGTATTGCTCACCCTAAATGAGGCGCCTTCACAGGCCAGTTTGCTTTTGGGGTTACAGTTCAAATGGAAAGCCAAGGTAATTAGTTTACAAGCCCCTCCTGTACCATATTCTGCATGTACCTGTTCACGGGCCTGGCAGTGCTGCCCCTGGCACGGGGTTGGCGCCTGGCTGACCAGGGCTGCAAAGGCTGGCCCCCGAGATGTGGAGCAAGTTATTCAATCTCCCAACTTCTCCCACCACTGGTACACCAATCTCCCTCTTAAGCAAGAACCTGAAGAAGACAACAGCTTAAACAGAATCCAGAAGAATCCTTGGTTGTGAGACACCTTTGGGACTGCCAGCTCAACACTCCCACTCTAAACCAGACTGTTCTGCCAGCCCCAGAAGCCAAGCACCAGCCTTAACCTGGATCCTTTCAGCACTGGCTGCCCTGCCTCCCCAGGCGATTCATTTTGGCAGAACACTTCCCAGGGGTGAGATGTTCTCCTGGAGGCCATTTCTTCCTGTAGTTTGACAAGCGTTTGTTCACTATCCTCTACGCAAAAGACCTTACTTAGACACAGAAGCACAGACAACAATAGCGAATCTCCCCCCAACCCCAGGTTGGAACGGGGATTTTTCCATCTGAAACCTTCCCTTAGTCCTTCGCAAACCTGTGTCTTGAGACTTTGTTTGTTTTTCTTATCCAGGTAACAAGGGTAATGAGTCAGCCTGACTCCCTAATCATAGGAAACTAAGGGGAATGGACTTTTCTAGCAGCCTCCACACCAAGGACAGACTCAAAGCAGGCATTCCCCACCTGCTTCTGGCTGCGAAATCCCCTTAGGATTTCTAAACTATCCAAGAATTTATCAAGATTCTTTTCAAATGTTCTTCAAACTTATTTTCACTTAAACTGTGAAAATATGTTGGGAGGAATCATTTAAGGAGATAGAATTGTTGAGTCAAACAAAAATAAAGTATAATTAACAATAACAATATCTAATGCTTATATAGTGCTGGGGAAATTTGTGAGTTCTTGGTGAGCCTGTTAACTCATCTGAATCTCTTACCTCCCTCATGAAGCAGGTCCTGTTCCCATCTCATTTGGCAGATGAGAAACATGTAGTGACTTGCCCCAAGTCACGTGGTTACTAGGTGGCAGAAGTGCACTTCTGAAGCCTGGGCTGAATCCACTTCCTCTTCAAAAAAAGTTGCATCAGTGGCCTTATGATTAAGTCGTAAACTCCCTAAGGAAGTACAAATTGTTTTATTGTTCTGTTGAACACATGCTTTCCTATTATTGATTAAAATCACATTTTTGCCATTTTTCTTAATGTCAGGCTTTCTTTCCCAAGACTGCAATTTCAAGAGCTAAGGAACTCTTTGTCCCACTGGGTGATTCTGTCGAGCAGAAAATTTTGTTCTCCTTTCTGACAATCTTGCCTATGCAAGTTGGATTGCGATAAAGATTACAATCATTAAGATTGTGTGGTCATAACCCCATACTCCAACTCCATGCTTCCCAGACCTTAATGTGCAGAAAAGTCACTGGGTGACATTATTAAAATTCACATTCTGTTTCAGTGGGTCTGAAGGAGTGCATGGGATGCTGCATTCCTCACCGGCTCCCACGTGATGCTGAGGGCGCCACCTGGAAAGGACACCTGTCCGCGAGGGTCTCCCAGCTCAGGGACACAGTCCTTCAGTCTGGTTGCATCTCATACAGATTAAAAACTAGCTGACTCTGCTTTGAACAGATTGGCCAGTTGTATTATTATTCCAGGATCGCTTTTGTGGTAATCGTTAGGAAATGTAGAAAAATCAACAAATTAAATCATGTCATAACAAACACATTTTTATCTACTGTCCATTTAGCCTACTATTTTTTACTACATAGGCCCAATTTTCACTCAGCAGGGACAAGTCCGCCTTGACTGCATAAATAATTTCTTCCCATCAAGAAAAAAAAGAAACT